TATAAAATTTGGTGCTTTCATCTTGATAAGATGACTGTTAGCTGACTGGCATAGAATATGGGTGAAAAGAAGCAATCGTGTTAAGTCAGGCATAGATCTTACATAGATCAAGGAAGCAATGAATTGAAAATTTGCCACTTCTAGTACCTTTTTGTCTTATAATAATTAATAGAAATTGCTATACCTTACCTCTAGCTTGATTTATTTATTTATTTATACTGGGGATCGAACTTGGGACCTTGTGCCTGCCAGGCAAGTGCTTATACCACTGAGCTATCTCCCTAGCCCTTGATATCTTTTATTCTACGTCAGAAATTAAAAATAGCTCTGGGATAGAATATAGAAGCTGTTTAATATCAACAGAAATTGAATGAACTCATTAAGTATGACCAGCTTGGGAAATGTGATTTTTTTTAACGCAATAAGAATTGTTTGCTGTGAAGATTCATATTCCTTATTCTCAGAAGGGCTGAGAGAACTCTAAGGATTAATATTCAGTATATCAAAAAAATTAGTAAAATGATACTGGCTTGGCTGCTTCTATTTTTTTTTTTTTTTAATGAGCAGAATATATTTATTGAGAGAAAGAAAGCTCCTGTCCAAGAGAGGGACAGGAGGGGGGCCCGAGCAGGTAGTTTCCCCTTGGCTGCTTCTGTTTGATTAAAAGTGCTTATACAGTTTTTGTTTTTTTTTTTTACTGATTATAGCAATTGGGTTAAGAAGAAATGTCTGAGAATAATTATTCATTAGTGATTTAAAATTTCTTAAAGCCCTTCTATTCCTTAATTTTGCATGTACATATTGCTGGTGTGTGTGGGGCATTCTTAGGAGGAAGCAGCAACACTATTTACAAAGGCAGTAAAACTAGAGAAAATGTGGGCAGACCCAGTCCCCCTGAGCCAGAGAAACGCGTAAAGCTCCTTAGGCCTCACCTGTTAGGGGAGGTGAAAAGCTGACTCTGGCAGCCCTTGGGGCTCTCATTCCTACAGAGTGGTTATTCTAAAAGGACTCACTAAGTAGTGTCTTATAATACTAATACTAATAATAATTATAATAATAATATGATGATGATGATTTTAGTCTTTTTTGAGACATTTCACTATGCAGTTCAGGATGGCTTAGAACTAACTTTGTAGCCCAGGCTGACCTCAAGCTCACAGAGATCTTCCTGCCTTGGCCTCCTAAGTGCTGGGATTACACGCATGGGCCACCACCCCTGGCAGTATTTTACAAATTTTGAATTCTCACTGCTTTATTCTTTTTTTTTTTTTTAATTTTATTTATTTATTTGTGTGTGTGTGTGTGTGTGTGTGTGTGTGTGGCCAGCTCAGCCCACCAGGGGGCGGGGCTGGCTGGCATGTGGTGCTGGGGGATTGAACTGCAGTCCCTGTGCTTTGCTAAGCTTGTTCTAAGTAGGTGCTTTAGACCACTGAGCCATCTCACCAGCCCCATCACTGCTTTATTCTTAATAAGCTTGGGTATTTAGTAGAAAAGAGACTCGATAGCTTTAAAAAGTGACATGTATTGTATATTATTATTTTTGTTTTGGGGGCATTATTTTCTGATTATAAAAATAATACATATTGAAAAGTAAAGAAGCAAACTTTAAAAAAAAAAATCATCCATCCCCGTTACCTGCGCCATCACAACGTGATATGACTCGCATGAAGGACATCTCAGATCATCTTTGTAACTTCCCTCCAAAGATTACATGTGTATGTTTATTACACAATTTTGATTTTTAGATATGCAATATTACAGAAAGATCTGATTTTAATTGATGATTGATTAGGAGCAAGTTTGGATCTCCTTTTTTCACCTTGTCACTTTTTTCTAATTATATTGTTTCCATTCACTAGTTGGAGTTGTTTGATCTTTTAAGATAATAAATGTTGCCTTGGGCAACGATATATTCTGACTTTGTACTGGGTTTAAGGACCGTTAATGTCATAGTGTTAGGTCATGTGGACATGAAGTCTGGAATAAACCTATAGTTCTTGTGATATGTAAAGAAATATTCTGAAACTATTTTCTTTCTCTGTTACAGATTGGTTGTGATCGTAGCAAAAGCCTCGTGGACATTTGCAGAGAGAGGCGATTCCAAGCCGTGGTCTGCGATGCGCTGGCCGTTCCTGTGCGCAGCGGGGCTTGTGACGCCTGCATCTCCATTGCTGTTGTCCACCATTTTGCAACACCGGTGAGTATCGTTCTTCCTTCTCCAAGAATTTAGAACTCAGGTTTATAAGGATGAGTTTGTGGATTGTACTAGCCTGGGATTCGGTTTTGGCTGTTTCTTTTGGTTTGTGTCTAGTTGTCTCCCCTAACGTCATGCAGTTATGGGGCAGCTTTTGGAGTTTGTGACTGGTTGCTGTGGGTGTGGATGCTGCACCCGCCCTGGGCAGGTAATCGGCATTACAGGGGAAGGAAATATTTTTAGGCATCTTTGAATACTGAGGTTCCTATGTAAAATGCAGATGACAAGCCAGGCATGGTGGCACTCTCTTGAAATCCCAGCACTCTGGGAGCCTGAAGCAGAAGGATTGCAGGTTTGAGCCCAGCATGAGACCCAGTGAGACCCTGTCTCAAAATAAAACATTTTAAAAAGGGCTGAGGTTAGAGATCCATGTGAATGCCCTGGATTTAAGCTCTTGTATCATAAAAAAGGAAACAGTCTCATAGCGTTGTCAGAATACATGAGATAGCATATAAAAAGTGCCTATCTTATAAAATGATCTCACCTTATATTTTCAGTGTGAAAAATCAGTCCCAATCCTTCAGACCCAATTTAGAAAAATCTTCAGTTTTCTCCTTTTAATTCACTTCCTATAAATTATTCATGCAGAAACTGCTCCCTCTTGTTTTAATACATACAGATGGCTTTTGGACTGTTAGAATATGTGATTTAGATGCTTCAATGCACTGTAACTTTGACAGTTAAAGAAACTATCTAGACCTCTGTGGTGGCATTCCTCCAATCCTAGCACTCTTGAAGACTGAGATAGGAGGATCTCAAATATCTCAAATTTGAAACCAGTCTGAGGAACTTCACAACTTAGTGAGACCCTGCCTCAAAAATTTAAAAAGAAGGGGCTGGGGAGATAGCTCAGTAGGATAAGCACTTGCCTGGAAAGTGCAAGAGCCTGAGTTCAATTCCCAGTTCCGCAAAAAAAAAAAAAAACATAAAAATTTAAAAAGGGCTGCAGATATAGCTTGGCATGAAGACGCTGGTTTAAATCCCCAATGCCACCAGAGAACCAAAAAAAAAAAAAAAGGAAAGAAAGAAAAAAGGAAATTATTTAAGGCTAAAGTGCTATGGAATTGGAAGGATCAATGTTGTTTTATCACTTATATATGTATGCATGTATACATTACAAATGCATATTCTCTTTGATTCCTAGCTGTATAACTTCAATGTCCTTCATGATGATATTTTCCCTTCCCTGTTGGCTTGCTAGTTAGTCTTTCATAATCTTTAATGGTTTCTGTAGGCAGTAGAATATATAGCCTAGATATTACAGTGCACTTGAAATTGGTAGGTTTACCCTTCTGCACAAGGAAAGAGTACCATTAATGACAGCAGGCCCTTCAGCCTTTTAGTGTGCTACTGTTATGTATTGATTTTAGCTTCAAATGTACATCTGTATCTCTCCGTACTATTTACCCTTCCAGATGTTCTTGTTTTTTTCCAGCCTCAAGGTTTCAGAGTGACTAGGTTTCTCTTGTTTGAATTCTTGCAACTATTTTCATTAATATATGTGTATTGGTGACAAATTTTCACCTTTTGTGTATCTGCAGTGTCTTTATTTTGCCCTTAGGACTTAAAGGGTTATTTCTACTAGGTCTTGCACTGAGCTATATCCCTGGCCCCCAGGTCTTCACTTCTTGACAGTGTCTTCTATGTTTTCCATCCTTTTTATTTCTGGACTTCAATCTGAGTAATTTATATTGGTCTGATTTACAGTTCAATAATTCTCTCTGGAGATGTATTTAATTTGCTATTAAATTAATTGATTTTTTTTTCTTTGAGAATTTGTGTGTAAAAGCTTAATATATTTTATAATTATAATATTTAATGTATTATATAATATGTTTATTATTTAGTCAATAATATTGTAATATTTAACATATTAACATACAAATGTTACATTTAATATTATAATATTTAACTATGATAATTATTATTATAACTATAAAATTCTTTTTTGTAGTTTGTGTACATAGTAACAATTATTTGAAATCTTTGGAGGTTTATTTCTCTGATTTTTTTTCTGGTTTTCAGTTATTTGGTCATAATTTTTTAAAACCATAGCTCATTTTTAAATTAAATTCTGAATACTTTGTCTTTGTAGTCCATCTTCAGAGAGGATTAAATTAGGGCATACACATAAGGTGTAGGCATATTACTTTAATCCTCTTACCTTATTAGGACTAGTTTGTGTCTGTTTTATTTTTGTACCTACTTCTGGAATGAGACCCTTGTAGGTTTCAGGTGAAAGCCTGTGGTATATTCCAGTGCTGTTACACCTTGGCCGACCTTAAACTTCAGTGCCAGTCTAGTTAGCATTATTCAGCTAACAAAATCTCTTTAGCTTTTTAACTTCTTAGCTGTTCCTCTGTTGGGTGTCTTAGAATTTCACACAGGGTTCATGTAATTTAGGAACTGGAAGTGTCCCTAGGGGAGTTTGTGTATTGACTTTTGGCGTCGCCTCGCTGCAGGTCCTGTTCTATTCATCATTCTGTCCTCCCATCCCAGCAGCTTTGGCTTCCCTGTGCTCTACACCCTGTTTCCTCATACTGGGGACACTTCTGCTCTCTGATGATGTTCTCTTCCCCCACAGTGCCAGTTATCAAAGAACCTCAGGTAAAGGCTGGCAGGAATGTAGAGCTCACCTTCTGTCTGCGATTTGATTCCTTCCTACTGGGTAGTAGCCTTCAAGCCGAGCCTGCAGTGCTTGCTCTCTGTGCTTTTGAGCAATGACTTATATACAGGTTGAGCATCTTCAGTCTGAGTGCAGACTGGCTCAAGCACTGTGGCAATGAGTGTGGAGATTCCTTCAAAGGCTAGGAGTGGAGGTCCCATTCAAGCCAACTATTTCTCTCCTGGATATTTTTCCACAAGAACTGAAAACCTCATACTGCAACCATATATGTGCACCCATGTTTATAGCAGTACTTTTTTATAGCTAAATCCTGGAAACAGCCTAGATGCTTATCAACTAAAGAATGGATAAGAAAGGGATTTTTATACAATGGAGTATTATTCAGCTATAAAACAGGATAAATTTGAATCTTTTGTTGGTAAATGGATGCAACTAGAGAACATACTCTTAAGTGAAATAAATCAGACCTAATTGTGCAAACATCACATTGTCTCCTTAGTGTGAGCACCTGAAAGAGAAAAATGGAATCTGAAGGGTAGAATAGACACTGGTAAAGGGAATGAACTTATTCAAAAGGAAAGAGTTACTGAGTTGAGGAGAAGGATAGGAGGAGTGGGGGAAAGAGATTTGTCTATGTGTATCAGCAGGATGCTTTGGGCAACTGTACTCTGCATTTCTGCTGGTCTATGGAAAAAAGCAGTTAATGCTTTAATTTATTTCGTCTCCTTTTTTCAATTGTTTGTACTTTTTCTCTTCTTAATTTCTTATACATTTCTTTCCTTTTTGTTTCTTCCTATTTTACATGCATATATCTGGTAATATGAATTACCTGGTTGGAAGACAACACAGTGTATTACAACAAAAACTGTGAAATTTATATTACTTTGTTAAGTGAAAATTTGTATCACTTTTTCTGTTTTAATTCTAATTTTTTTTTATACACAAGTCATACCTTTTTTATTTTATTTTATTTTATTTTATTTTTTTAATATTTATTTATTTTTATTTATTACATTTATTTATTGTGTGTGTGTGTGGCCAGCTCAGCCCACCAGGGGGCG